AAAATCAAAAATAAATAAATAATTTTAAATAGGTCGAGCCTAATGGATAAACCCAGGAATACCAGCATTTATACACCCAGGCATTACTACTTTAAAAACTACAAAACATCTCTATTGGAACAACAGTCATGCCACCATAACCGGCTGACGGTCTAACCACTCTAAGACCTCTATTTTATCCATAAAACATGGATAACTTTAGGTGGGCACGGTAATGCATATCCGTAATCCCAGCACTCTTGGAAGCCTGAGACAGGATTGCAAATTTGAATCCGGCCTGGGCAATTTAGGAACTTACTTAGCAAGACCCTATCTCAAAATGGGGAAAGTGAGAAGGGGCGAGGGTGCAGAGGGAGAAGGAGATGTAGCTCAGTGTGAAGGCCCTGGGTTCAATTCCCAGTACTGAAGAGGGTAGGGCCTTATAGATGAGTTTCACATTTTTTTTTTTTGGAATCAGGAATCAAACTTGGGACCTTGCACTTTTGAGGGAGGCGGAGGAACCACTGAGCTAAATCCCCGGCCCACCACATATTTTTTATTAATGCATACTTGTTCTACAGATTAATGGATTTCATTTTGGCAGATTCATACATCCACATTTTTCCATCCTCCATAACCCTCATATCTACCACCCTCACCCCTAGTTTCACATTTTTTTGAAATTTATTTTCGCCAGAATTTTAAATCTTTTAAGTTTTTTGAATTTTGGCCAAAAAAACTTATAGATGCATAATTGTATTTCATTGTGGTTTTAGTACTTAATGACTCATAATGAGTTTATATTTTAATGTAGAATTTTTATAATTGTATGTTTTAGATTTGTCCTATTTTTGTGTAATTGTGTGGTGTTTTGAGGATCATCTTTTTTTTTTGAGACAGGGTCTCTCTATGTAGTTCAGGCTGTCCTTGAACACTGTGTAGCCCAGGCTGGCCCCTAACTTGAAGCAATTCTTCTGCCTCAGCTTCCCAAGTGCTGGGATTACAGAAATAAACCACCACACTCGGCTTGGTTCATTCTTCCTGACGTATGGATACCCAGTTCTCTTAGCATTTGTTGAGACTGTCTTCTCCATTGATTTGTTATTGTTTTCATAATTTAATTGACTATACATATGAAGATTTTTTCCTGAATTTGTTTTCTGTCAGTCAGTTCTCTGTCCCTGAACTAATACCATACAATCTTGATTAATGTAGCTTTACAGGAAGTATGAGAATCAAGTTGTACAAGTCTTCCCATTTTTTCTGCCTTTTTATGGTGGGTTTTTTTTTTCGGTTTTTTTTGTTGTTGTTCTAGTTCATTTGCCTCTTCAGACAAGTTCTGAAATCAGATTGTTGAAAGAGACTTTTTTTTTTTTGGTACCGGGGATCAAACTCAGGACCTTGTGCTTGCAAGGCAGGTCGAACCACTGAGCTAAATCCCTGGCCCTGAAAGAGATATTTTTGAAAAATACAACAAATTTACTGGAAAAATAAAATGAATATTGGGTATGATAGTGCATGCCTGTAATCCCAGCACTTGGGAGGCTGAGGCAGGAGAATTACCATGAGTTCAAGGCCAGATGGCTACATAGTGAGTGCAAGGCCAGCCTGAACTACATAACAAGACCTTGTCTTAGTTACTTTTCTTATTGCTGAGACAAAAATACCTGACACCCACAGTTAAGGGGGCAAAGGCTTATTGCAGCTCACATTTGGTAGAGGTTTCAGTCCATAATCAGCTGACTTCAAGGCAGGGTGGCATGGCAGAGCATTGCAGAGGAGAAGCAGTTCATGGCAGGTAGAAGACAGTAAAAGCAGCAAGTGACATCATCAGCGCTTTTTCCTTATATTCTATCCAGGCTACATACGCTTACGGCAGGTAGCACTCACACCCAGAACTATGCCAAACCAATCAGTGGATAATTTAGTAATCACACACCCTTAATCCCAGGATCACACACTCTAGATCCAGCTACCTCTGAAAAGCCCCACCTCTGACCGCATAAGGCTTTGGAGAGACATCTAGATACAAGCCATAACACCCTGTCTCAAAAAACAATACAATATTAGATACCCCACATTTATAATTACAACTGACAGACATATTTTATATTCCAACAAGTATACTAGTTCATAAGATAATTTAGCAAAGACATTAAGATTGTACATAATCTATACATGCAATGTTAATGGGTAATTAATATATAGAGAGAACCACACTTAAAACCTTTTGTGGCTACAATGGTAAGTAAACAAAAAGTTATGAAGTAGCAATTACATTAAGTCTGCGGGGCTGGGGATTTAGCTCAGTAGTTTCGCCACCTGCTGTGTAAGCACAAGGACCCGAGTTCGATCTCGGTACCAAAAAAAAAAAAGTCTGTAAGCACATTTAGGTCTTTCACTATTTAAGTTTTATGTGGTAATAGTACTTCTTATCTGGTAAAATACATAAATTTTAAGAATACAGATTTATGAGATTTGAGGTCTGTAAAAACATCACTTTCTATCACCTATATTATGATAGAAAATACTTCCATTGTTTAGAATGTTCCTTTTGCCTGTTTTCAGTCTCCTGTCATCTGGTCAACTGCTGTTTTGACTTTTTTAGATGTAGCACAGTTCTTTGTTTTTTGTATATGCACATATCATACTTTAATCATTGCCCTCTTTGCTCCTCTTGCCCCAACCTTCCCCCAGGTTCACATTTGAGGGGTTTCAATGCATATATTTTGATCATATCCATCCCATTACCTTCCCTTACATCTCCATTTACCCTCCCTCCAATTCTTTCCTCTTTGTCAAGTAACTGTCTGCCTTCTACTTTCTATTTCATATTTTTTAGGTCCACATATTAGGGAGAACATCTGATATTTGTATTTGTGAGCCTGGCTTATTTCACTCAACATAGTAATCTCCGAACCATCAGTTTTCCTGAAAATGACAAAATTTCATTCTTTATGGCTAATACTCCATTGTGAATATATACCCCATTTTCTTTATCCATTCATCTGTTGATAGGCACCTAGCCTAGTTCCACATCTTGGCTATTGCAAAGTACACCACAGTGCACATGGGTATGCTGGCATGCTTATAGTATGCTGACTTTAATTCCTTTGGGCATATAACAAGGAATGGTACAGCTGTATCAAATAGCTCTTTTAATTTATTGAGGAACCTCCATATTGATTTCCATAGTGCCTGTACTAATTTACCTACCCTCTAGCAGTACAAGGATTTCTTTTTCCCTGCGTCCTTTCAGCATTTATTGTTTGTTGTTGTTGTTGTTGTTGTTTTTTGAGACAGGGTCTTGCTATGTAGTTCAGGCCAACCCTGAACTATCTAGCCCAGGCTGGCCTTGAACTCTCAGCAATCCTCCTGCCTCAGCTCCCTGCGTGCTGGGATTACAAATGTACACTACCTTGCCTGGCTTATTTTTTGTATTCTTTTTTTAAAAATAACTTTATTATCAAACACACACACATACAAAAAATCAAAACCACACAAAGAAGAATAATGCAAGGGGGAAAAAAACTACAATAATATTCAAATACAGTAGAACTCAACCAAAACAAAACTGAAAAGCACTTAAACATTTTTCCATATAACTTAAAAAAGCATCTTAAGCACCAACAAGACACCAGAGGATGTGATTTGTTTCAGAAGGGTCCCCAGAACCAACACTGAACAAATAATGATCTGGAAAAAAACTCCAGTTAGTTAGTTAGACTCCACATAAGCCAAACTTCTCCCTAATTTAACTTTCGATACAGTCATATGACACGCGATGGAAACACAATCCGAGAAATATGTTATTAGGCCATTTCATCCGTGTGTACCCTTAATTACACTCTCAGTTTCTCACACTAGAGAAACTATTGGGTATTTACACGTGTGTCCTATTTATTTCACTTAAGAGGATGGCCTCAATATGAATCCATTTAGCTATAAATGTCTCTAGTTTTTCATTCTTCATGGCTGAGTAGTACTACATTTTATAAAAACAAACCACATCATCTTTGTCCAGTCTCCAGTTGATGGGCACTTGGGCTGTTTCCAAGCTTTCGCTATTACGAACTGTGCCGCTATAAACATGGGTGCACATATGTCGCTGTGGTATGATTCTTTTCATTCTTTTGGGAAGATACCCAGCAAGGGTATAGCTGGGTCAAATGGGACCTCTAAGCCGTTCTTTGAGGTATCTCCATACTGATTTCCACAGTGGTTGCACCAGTCTACACTGCCACCAAAAATGGAGAAGAGTTCTTTTATTTTTTGTATTCTTGATGATGGCAAATCTGACTATACTGAGATGGAATCTCAGTGTAATTTTGATTTGGATTTCTCTAATGGCTAAAGATGTTAAACACTTTTTAAAAAAAATTTATTTGTAGTACATAGTGATTACATTCATTGTGGAGAACTGTACATGTGCATAACACATCTCAATTCTTTTTTTCCTCTTCTCCTCCATCTATTTCTTCATATACTTGTTGGCCATTTGTACTTCTTCTTTTGAAAAATGTCTGTTAATTCATTTGCCCATTTATTGATAAACTATTGGAGTTTTTGGTGCTATAGGTTTTGTTGTTTATATATTTTATTTTTTGGTACTAGGGATCGAACTCGGTACCTTGTGCTTGCAAGGCAGGCGGTGGACCCGCTGAGCTAAATCCCTGGCTCTGTTTATATATTTTAGATATTAATCCTCTATTGGAAGAGTAACTGACAGATTTTCCTTCTGTAAGTTCTCTCTCTTCGTTGTTAGTTGTTTACCTTGCTGGGCAGAAAGTCTGATGTAGTCCCATTTATTGACTGATGCTATTATTTCTGTGTTCAGGAAGTTTTCACCTGTGCCTATGGCTTCAAGTGTTTCCCATTTTATTATAGCAGTTTCAAAATTTCAGGTTTTATACCTAGATCTTCAATCTATTTTGAATTGATTTTTGTACCAGATGAAAGGTAGGGATCTACTTTCAATCTTCTACTAGTGGATACCCAGTTTTCCCAGCACCATTTGTTGAAGATGTTGTCTTTTCTCCAGTGTATTTTTTGGGGGGGGGGGTGCTTTTTTGTCCAGAGCCAAATGGCTGTAGTTGTGTGGGTTTCTGCCTTCTATTCTGTTCATTGATCTTATTTTTTGTGCCAGTACCATGCTATTTTTGTTACTATGGTTTTGTAGTGTAATTTAAAATCAGGTATTTTGATGCCTCCAACTCTGTTTTTTGTTTTGTTTTGTTTTGTTTTTGTTTTTTTGGTACCGGGGATCAAACTTGGGTCCTTGGGCTTGCATAGCAGGCAGCGAAATCACTGAGCTAAATCCCTGGCCCTCCAACTCTGCTTTTTGCTTAAGATTGCTTTGGCTATTCTGGGCCTTTTGTGTATCTGTTATGGCTTATATCCAGATGTCCCCAAGTCACATGTGCTCATAGGTGGGCTCTGGGGAGGTGACTGGATCATGGGTGTGTGATATACTGAATTAATCCATGATGGGTTTATAGCTGGGTGTGACGTTGGGAGGCGAAGCCTGCTGTGTCACTGTGGGTGTGACCTGGAATGGTGTATATCCCTCCTCCTCCTTCCCTTTCTGCCCTGCTTCCTACCTACCTGCCAGCCAACTATGAACAGAAACCTCTACAACTGTGAGCCAGAACTAACCCTCTCCTTTAACTTGTGGGTGTCAGGTGTTGTGTCTCAGTGACCAAAAAGTAACTAAGACAGTTTCCATATAAATTTTAGAATGTTTTTCTAGTTCTGTCATTGGTATTTTGATGAGGACTGCATTGAATCTGTAGATCACTTTTGGTAATATGGCCTACAATATGGATTCCACCAATTTATGAATATGGAAGATCTTTGCATCTTTTGGTGTCTTCTTCAGTTACTTTCTTCAGTATCATGAATTTACATTGTAGAGGGCTTTAACTTCTCTGGTTAAATTCATCCCTAGGGGTTTTACTTTTTTTTGTTGTAAGCTATTGTGAATGGAATTGTTTTCCTGGTTTCTTTCTCAGCAACTCTATTATTGGTGTACAAAAAGCTATGCTGATTTTATATACTGTCACTTTACTGAATTCATTCATCAGCTCTAAATGTCTCTTGGTGAGGTCTTTAGGGTCTTCTAAGTATAGGATCATATGATCTACAAATCAGATATTGACATACAGTAAAAACCAAGTAAAAGCAACAACTATGCCACCACTGATGACAGAAATCAGCAATAATAATATAAACTAAAAGGCTAAAATTTTATAAAGGTTAATAGTAATAATAAAAATGGAGAGGGGAAGAAAAATGGAAGACAAAGTAAAATTTAAAAAAGAAAAGGACAATGAGGAAGAAAGAAAAGTGAAAAAAAGAAATCTAATTAAAGAATAAAACAAAGAACAAAACAAAACAAAAACAAAGTAAAAGAAAAATGAGTCCAAAAAATTCTTCCACACTGAGGTGTCCAGGTGGGTGGTATCTTTCTAGGATCTGCAGTATTGGAATTCACCACATATGGGGAGGCATGATTGAGTCACAGCTAGAGCCTGCTGTTTCTACACCTACTAAGCAAAGGTTTTATAAAGTTCTTTAAACAATGTGTGGTATATAGTAACTGCAAAATAACTGATACAAATGATAATAAGCCCTATTTCTAATGAATTCATGTCTAACATATTTCTACATTTTACTTATATATAATGACTCTGATGTTCTTTCAAATTGGGTACAAAGATTTTGAGAGGAATTGTCAATCCCGAAGTACATAGCTCATGTACTTAAGCATGTATAACACTTGAGGCCCTTGGGTTCAATAATCAGAATTTTTTTTAAAAATTACATTAAAAAAATAATAATTTTAAGGTGATTATATCCTGTTTTATCAATTTTACTATAGCCCAGATGTATTATTTTTAAAATATGCACAAGGTATGTATTTAAGATATACAGATACAAATATGTATTTAAAATTTATCTTAAAATGCCTATTTTATTTCAGTAGCCAATGACCATCAAGCAAGCAAAGAAAAGGAAAGTAATTTCATGAAGAAAGACAAATCTATGGAGTGGTTTACAGGAAGTGAAGAATAAGATGGTTCAATTAAAGCAACTTGGAATCATTAGCTATGAAATGTAAAATACAAGACAAGTGTCAAAATGGGACACTTAAGCAATTTTACAATGTTACACAGTTTTCTTTAGCTTTTGTTATTTTTCAAACTTTTATGTAAAAGTTACACAAATCATAGTAATAGCTAAAAAATATCAATATATGAAAGTAGTGAGTAACAATATAAAGTTCTCCTTTGATACTTTTTTGTCTTCAAATCCATTGCTGTCGTCTGAGATACTCAGTTAAATTGTGGTTTGACCTTCCTTAACTTGACAAGGAAAGCTAATTTAAAAGCAGAAAAAAGGTAATGTCATTACATTGTATTAATTGGAAGACAAAACAACTTCATATGTATCGGAAACATTACTCACCTGTATGTCCAGTTTGCCAGTGCACAGGTCTCGCAATATAGGGAAAGGACCCATATGGGAAATCAGATTGTGATTCTTCTGTTGTAGAACAAAATACAGATATGAGCTACATAAAATATATCATAATTTGTTCACAAAAACTATGGAAAATTATTGTCCCTTAACTGTGACCTTTTGTTTATTTTTTTTTGTTTTTTGTTTTTTTTGTATTTTGGTACCAGGGATCGAACTCAGGACCTTGCACCTGCGAGGCAGACGGAGGCACCACTGAGCTAAACCCTCGGCCCTGTTTTTGTTTTTTGAGACAGGGTCTTGGCTATGTAGTTCAGACTGGCCTTGATGTAGTTCAGACTGGCCTTGAACTCACTATGTGGTCCAAGCTGGCTTTGAACTCGCAGTGGTCTTCCTGCCTCACCCTCCTGAATATTGGGATTATAGCCGTGCACCACCATGCTCAGCTCTCAGACTTTTTAAGCATTTGTTTTTGGGCTACTCTGCCAGTTACTGAACAGAAATAATTTGTTAGTGATTACATAATAACCTCACATAGGCTTTATAACCAAATGGACAAGTCCATATCATAAATCAGTGGATACCTGAAAACATTAAATAATCTATACATACAACAGGGACCTACACTTATTTCTATAAAGAATTTCAGCAGCATCTTAGAAGTTGGTTTTTTGTTTTTTGGTTTTGCTTTGTGACAAGGTCTCACTTCTGTAATTCTGGCTGGTCTTGGACTCACTATAGCCCAGGCTGGCCTCAAATTTGCAGCTTTCTTCCTATCGCAGCCTCCTAAGTGCTGGGATTACAAATGTTCCACCACACCCGGTTTAGGATCTGGTCTTCACAATATTACTATTTGAAGATCAGGACCCATTAAATTCATTTCCTTCGGTAATAACCACTGATCTACATTTAAAACATCCTTACCAGGTATAGTGGTGCACACCTCTTAACCTGCTGAGACAGGAGGATCTCTGGAGTTCAAGGCCAGCCTGAACTATATAGTGAGACCTTGTCTATAAAAATAAAAATATAGGGCCGGGGATTTAGCTCAGTGGCACCATGCCTGCCTCACAAGCCCAATGTCCTGAGTTTGATCCCTGGTACCACAAAATAATCAATCAATCAGTCAATCATCTTTTAGTAGAGGCAGGTGTGGTGGTGATGGCTGTAATCCCAGCACTGAGAAGCCTAATGCAGGAGGACTGCAAGTTTGAGCCCAGCCTAGGTAACTTAGTAAGACACTGTCTCAAAATAAAAAGGGCTGAGAATGTACCTCTGTGGTTCAATCCCTAGTACCACTAAATCAATGTTTTAGTATATTTAAACTTTTTCACAAACCAACCTCATGGTAACAAGCAAACTATGAATCTTATACAAGCTCAATTCTTCAAAGATACCAGGAGTTTTACATAAAAAGTAGAGAAATTCATTATTTTGTCCTTTATACATCTTAATTCAACTGAATAAATACTGCATTTCAATTTTTATAGGAAAAAATCTCTAAGGAATACTTTTATTACCTATTGGTCAATACTCTCAGGATTCCAATCCCCACTTAACACAAAAGCATGCATAAAATAAATTGAAGCTCACCATGTTTATCTTCTTGAAGCACCTCACCTTCATCTTCAGTTTTCTTTGCAGAATGTAACTGTAAATCTGTGTTGATTTTAGGTTCTACTTTTTGAGGTATAATTCCATTTCTGTGTTTTGCACAGCAAACCAACCAGTCTCTGACAGTGACCTCGCTTATCTTTTCACACGAGAGAGCAAGCTCACAGAGGCAAATTCCATCTAAAAGTTCAATAGCCTGTGTGATGCTTTCAGAAAAGCAAAAAATGCATTTTACATTTCCACTATAATAATAACTTTTAGTTCAGAATAATCATACTTAAATTGAAATGCTAATACCAAATTTAAATGCCACCATTAAATCAGGTTAGTGGGGGTGAAAATGCAATTTAGGGCATATAGTCAGTAATTTCACATACTACATAAGAAATACAGAGGGCCGGGGATTTAGCTCAGTGGTTTTGCCGCCTGCTGCGCAAGTGCAAGGTCCCGAGTTCGATCCCAGTACCAAAAACAAAGGAAATACAGAAACCATAATTTAATATTACTATTCACATCACACTTCTAAAATTTTTCTTCCAATTAGAAGAAATATGCATGTTATATTACTATATATGCAAAGGATGATTTAAGCAGGAATATATTCTTCAAATGAATTGCATTATAATAGTTTGTTGTTGTTGTTGTTTTGAGACAGGGTTTCACTATGTAGCTAAGGCTGGCCTTGAACTCAAAACTATCCTCTTGCCTCAGCCTCCTGAGTGCCAGGATTAGACATGCGCCACCAAACTTGGCTGGATTGTAAGTTTTACAACATGACACATATACCTTACTCAGTTACAAAATGAATATTTTAGCTGGTATTTAGGCAAAATAAAAGTGTATTTTAGGCCGGGAATTTAGCTCAGTAGCACTGTGCCTGCCTCATAAGCACATGGTCCTGAGTTCAAGCCCTGGTACCAAAAAAACCCTGTATTTAAAAATAGCATTACACCCAGACTTGGTGGTGCATGCCTGTAATCCCAGCACTTGAGAGGCTGAGGCAGGAAAACTGCTGCAAGTTTGAGGCCAGCCTGGGCTATACAGTGAGTTCAAGGACAGCTTGAACTACATAGGGAGACTGTGTCTCTAAATAAATAAATAAATAAATAAAATTACAAAAGAAAATAGTGCCATTACTTACTTTGCTAGATACACAACACATACACCACCCTGTTTCAGACGTGGGTATAAAGCAGGCAATGCAACTTGAGGATTTAACATATCCAAAGCTACCTGTGGGGAGGAAAAGAGGACTGGATCAATCTAATTCTGTTTAAATAAAGCATGGATTTCCTTTTCTTATTGGGATGAAATGACATACTTTTGGAAAGCAATTATCCAGTTAGGGTATTTCATATTTTTAAAAAATAGTGCTACTGGCAGGGCATGAAGGCACATGCCTGTAATCTCAGCACTTGGGAGGCTGAGGTAGGAGGACTGCTGTGAGTTCCAGGCCAGCCTGGGCTACACAGTGAGTTCAAGGCCAGTCTGAAATACATAGTGTGAGCCTGTGTCAAACAAACAAACAAAAAAACCCAAGCACCATTACCTATCACTTTACTGCTTCCCAAAGAGTATGTTCAAATTATACAACTTGTCACAGTACTTGACTATACATAAAAATCATAATGGTATGTCTTGCATTTGGCAATATTAATATAGGAATCTTTCTTTGGCTACATATGTGTACATGAATATACACAAAGACTTCTGTATTATCAGTATTGCCAAGTGTAAGACATGTCATTACAACATAAAAATATATTTGGAGTCTCGTGAATGTCTCTTGCTAAATTTATAAGCTTAAATGCTTTAGTTCAATTTTGGCAACAGAAATTTTTATTTCAAATGTTTTAGTCAGGTGTGGTGGTGCATGCCTGTAACCCCAGCACTTGGGAGGCTGAGGCAGGAATATCACTGCAAGTTTGAGGGCAGCCTGGGATACACAGTGAGTTAAAGGCCAGCCTGGACTACATATTGAGACCCTGTCTCAAAAAAAAGAAAAAAAAATTAAGATTCTAATGGAAAAGTTCTGAATAAAAAATGTAGAGGGTCTAAAATTCATGAATCATGTCCCTTATTTTGTCTTTCTTCTTTGTTCAATTGTAGGATACAGGTCAATATTCGCAAAAGAAATCAAGTACAATGAGTAAATGAGTGAGTGAACCTTTCAAATAAAGGATTAAAAAGTAAATCCAGTCAAAAATAGAAAACAAAGTAAATATTTATCAAACACTTTCTACATGTCAAGTATCTTGCTAAGTGGTAAAGCCCTACAGGAGCTTACGCTGTTTCCTTAGGACTTACAGTCTAATAAATGGAGCGATAAAAACCCAATTAAGTATATAAATACCTAAGACAGAGTAGTAAGTGACATAAAGAACTGTATAACTATCATTATACAGCAGAATAAGACAGTGACAAGAAAAGGATGTCATTTTCTATACAAGTTTATCATGAAGAGAGCCTAAGAAAATTATTAGGTTTACACCATGGAAATTTAGGGAACAAGTATGCTGCAGGCAGAGAAAATAGTAAATATAGTAAATACAAATCCTCTGCGACAGTGGGCTACTTGGGGAGCCTGAAAAGCCCACTGTCACTGCAGTGGAGACTAAAGGGGGTAAAGGGCAAGAGATGAGGTCTAAAACGGGAGCGATGTAATGCGGGGGCGGCGCATTACGTAAAATCCCAGGCTTTAGCTTTACTCAAGTTTTAAAAAATGATACGATCTGACTTTGTTTCTTACTTTTTGGTGGATAGTAAATACTATAAACACAAACGTTTCCATCTTTACCGGCTTACATGTACAACTCAGTAATGACTTATTTTAAACTCTACATACTAAAGACCATGAAAAGGAAAGGAAGCAAACAACGGTAGTGCAGTGGAAAGTGGGATATTTGAAGGCAGAGCCAAGAAACTTGCTAGTCCTTCAAATGCTCTATTTTCAGCTAACAGCATATTAATGTAGTCACTCAAAACAATGTTGGAGTCCCCACTTTCTGTCCCTTGAATTATCTTTTGAAAATCTGAGGTTTTTGAGGCTTCTGTTTGAATTGAAATCCCACAAATCTATCTCTTCAGTTTCTCAAATTAATTCTACTGCCACTGTCATAGGTCTTGACTGCATTATGTCTGTCTGTCTGTCTTTCTTTCTTTCTTTCTTCTTTCTTTCTGAGACAGGGTCTTACCATGCAGTTCAGGCTGGTCTTGAACTCACAGCAATCCTCCTGCCTCAGCTTCCTGAGTACTAACCTCATTATATCTTGTTGAAGTATTACAATAGCTTTTGGCATAGACACCCAGCCTCCATTCTTCCACCATAATTATTCTAAAACAATCTGGACATTCTATTGTCCTATTTAAAACTTCATCAATAGTTTTCCATTATCTAAAAAATAACGTCCATGAGCTCCGGCTTGATACACATTCAATATTCTTCATTACCTGGCCTCTCATAACTGCATCTGCAGCTTCTTCCATTTGTACCCAACTCAACAATCCATGGGTGTTTACATGACTCTTTGTACTAGTTTGCATCTGAAGTTCCTTGGATGTATAACTCAGTTTTGTTTTGGCAGAGTACAAGGCCCATAGGAAGTTCTAGGTGTCAATCAATCAAAGCCCGGCATGGTGGTGCATCTTGTAATTCTAGCACGCTAGGAGGTTGAGGGAGGACACCAAGTGCAAGCCCAGCCTGGGCAACTAAGTGATTTAGCAAGATATTACCTCAAAACAACAAATTTTATAAAAGACTGGGGATACAGTTTAGTAATGAACACACACACACACAAACACACACACACACAGATACACAAAATGTATAGCAAATCTAGAAACAAAGTTCAGTAATTCAAAAGAAGGTGATAATCCTCTGGTTAGATGATTAAGGAATCTTCCATGTAGAAGTGTTTGTCTAAGTTTCCAAGGGAGAATGAATTTAAATACGTACAGAATAGCCAAAAGGAGGGTAACCACATGAAAATCATAGCTAGTATCTAATGCATAGTATGTATCAGGCACTATTCTATCTCCTTTACATGAATTATTTAATCCTCAAGCACTTTATCAAACAGGTACTATTATTTTTCTATTTTAACATAGGTTTCTGAAGTCAAATAACTTACTCAAGGTTACACTGACTATATAAATAAAGGAGCCTAGCAGTGTTTAATGGACTCTGAAACTATTTCCTTTTTCCTTTTCTCTTTAGAAATAATCATCATCCTGAAGATATGACATTCCCAAATAATTTTATACTTTTACAACATATGTATATAGCTTCAAATAATATGTGTTCTCATTTGGAAAACAAAAAATTTTTTTGAGACAAGGTCTGGCTATGTAGGTTCAGGCTGGCCTAGAACTCACTATGCAGCAGAGCCCAAGCTAACCTCAAACTCGTGATGATCCTCCTGCCTCAGCCTCCTGAGTGCTGGGATTACAGACATGTGCTACCACACCTGGCTGGAATTTTATATACATGGTCATTTCATACATATTATTTTATAATGCTTTTTTCACTAAGCACCATGTCTTTGAGACTTTCTGATGTAATATGGCACATTTATTATTAGTATTCCACTGTGTCCATTCCTCTTCTGACAGTCACACTGCATTTATGGCTTAATATCTTTTATATTTGTTTACCATCACTTTGGTTGGGAGGAAGCGTAAGCAGGTTACACAAAGAACTGGAGTTAGAAAGGAAGGTTAAAATCACATTCTCAAGAACACTAAAAGTCTTTAAATGAAAAGCTAGGCATGGTGGCGCATGCAGTTAGGAGGCTGAGGCAGGAAGATTGCCAGTCATTTGAGCCAGTGTGGGCTACATAGTGAGTTCAAAGCCAGCCTGAGCTCTGACCTACAAAGTGAGACCCTAGCTTAAAAGCGGTGTGTGTGTGTGTGTGTCCTGATTGATTTTTCACCAGGAGACAGTAATGCAACCATATTTTGGGAAGATTACTCTAGAGATGAGGGGAACGGGTGAAAAGAGAGAAGACCTAGGAGGTGAGAAAGCAGCTATGAAAGGAAGATACAGTCAAAGGGAACGATAATCCATTAGGAAAAGAACCGGAAGAGTGGCAGAAACATGAAATGTATGTTTAATATAAACCTTTTCACTTTCAATCAAACATTTACCTTTAAACAGTACTTTTATCAATTGAGAATTTTCCTTTTACAAGTACCAGGAATTGAACTCAGGACCTCGTGCTTGCCAGGCAGGCACAGCACCACTGAGCTACAACCCTGGCTCTCAATTGACAATTTTTAACAATCCAACCTTTTCTTGATAGTTCTATATTAGGATTTATATATGAGCATCACCTATAATTCTTTGCCCCTAATAATAATTAACTGTTCCCTAGCAGCTGAAACTCCTATGTCCTCCCATGAGTATCCCCTGGTACTATTATTGAAAGACTCAACTGAATAAATCTAAAGGAGTATTCTTTCTAGATCAGGAATCTTTCAGCAGGTTTCTACAAAGCTTCAGCAATACCATTAAAACCCTTTTGTTGTGTTTCATGTTCATCAAGCAAAAATGACTAATGTCTGTTCCTCAGATTCCTGTGGACAGTTTAAACAGAGTCTTTCAGCTGGGAGTGGTGGCACACACCTGTGATCCCAGCATTTGGGAGGCTGAGGCAGGATGATCACTGCAAGTTCCAGGCCTGCCTGGGCTACATAGTGAGAACTTGTCTCAAAAATCAAAAACAAAATAAATCCTTTTCCGTTTATTGAGGTGTAATATGCAAACCAAACAACGATAAAGAAGCAATTTTTTTTCGTACCGGGGATTGAACTCTGGTCCTTGCGCTTGCACAGCAGGCAGTGAAACCACCGAGCTAAATCCCCGGCCCTAAACAATGATAAAGAAAAACAACTGTTGTCACTAAAACTATACACTTTAATTACATAGTAGGTGAGAATCAGTGCTGATAAAAATAATTTTCTCTTTGAACTTTGCTTCATTTTTCATCAAAATAATCTAACCTTCCAGCAGCCAATTAAGAAAAGCAACAAAAGGGGCCAGGGATTTAGCTCAGTGGTTCCGCTGCCTGCCCCGAAAGCACAAGAACTTGAGTTCAATCCCGGTACCAAAAAAAAAAAAAAAGAAAAAGCCAGGTGTAGTGGCACAGGCCTGTAATCCCAGCACTTGGGAGGTTGAGGAAGGAAGATCACTGCAAGTTCAAGGCCAGGCTGGGCTACATAGTGATTTAAAGGCCAGTCTGGAATACATAACAAGACTCTGTTTCAAACAAAACACACACACAAAAAAAAGAAAGAAAAGGAAAGCAGACACAATATCCAGGTCTAAACCCACAGTGTTAAGCTATGAACTGCTGAATGGCATCACCATGGATAAGGCAATTCAACACCAGAATTCTGAAACTCTGAAGCTCAGTGTCGTACATCTCTATCATCTTTGATTTCAGTTTAAAATATCCTCTTTTCACCTACCCTTTTATGTTCAAAATACTGTACTTCTGAGGCCGGGGATTTAGCTCAGTGGTTCCGGTGCCTGCCTCGCAAGCACAAGGTCCTGAGTTCAATCCCCGGTACCAAAAAAAAAAAAACCACACACACAAAATACTGTACTTCTCTTTAATTTAACCTCCCACTGCTAAGAATTCCTCTGCATAGCCAGGCATGGAACACACCTGTAATCCCAGCACTCAGGAGGCTGAGGCAGGAGGATCACAAGTCTGAGGCCAGCTTGGACTATATATAGTGAGTTCAAGGCCAGCCTGAACTGCCTAGTGAGACTCTGTCTCAAAAACCAAAAAATAATAAAATAAAATAAAATAAAATAAAAACTCTACTCACAAATTCCTCTATTCCACTTTCTTGGAGCTTTATGAAAAATGACTTTACCCTTAACATCATTAATGAATATTCCTCTGCACGTCCCAACTTTAACTTCTAAAGATGCCTCTTGCCTATCCGTTATCAATGGAGGCTATCTGTTCTCCCAATTTTCACAACTGAGGTTAGGTGCTGGGCTCAATATGCTCCCAGTTGCTTCCCAAATTATTATTCCTTTACATTGCAAATGTTGAGTTCATAGCACTTAACTTCTCTTCCTAGACTTTGGTCATTATGCCACATTCATTGACCACTTTGGCAGCTAAATCAGTATGTCTTTCTGGCCCACATCCCATTATGAGATTAAAGGGCATTAGGGGAACATATTCTTTCCAGATCTCATGACAGAGATAGGGCAAACATAATAAAGACCACTGCCTATGCCAAAGAAGTCTGAGGGCTGGGATGTAGCCCAGCGGCAGTCTTTACTCAGCTTATGCAAGGCCCTACGCTCAATACCCAACACGGGGTGTGTGTGTTCTGTTTTCTTTGCACTTTAGAAAACTTACCGCATCAAATGTTAGAGATTGTATGTCTTCAGCTGCTCCTGAAATATCCTTGTGAATGAAATTCACATTATCTGGCCATTCTTCTACATGACTTAATTTCCATGAATCACGCCAGTGTTTGTAATTCTTCTTGGCCAGATCGTGATGGTCCTTTCGTATTTCAAAACTTATGACTTGTCCTTGGCATCCAACTTAAGTAAAATAATTTATGGTATTTCACAGTTTATTTTAGAAAGTGTTGAGCATTTATTTTGCAAAGATACTAAACATATGTAGAAAAACATTTAAATAGTTCAAGGTTACCAAAGTCTCTCCTCTATCATCCTGATCCCCAGTCAGTCTTCCTCAGAGGCAGCCAGATCACCACTTACCCTTCCATGCTAGCTGGTGCCAACACAGGCATGCAAGGAACTGGTCAGTAACACGTCATGGCTGAAACACTGTCCAGTACCTTCTTGCTTCCTTACGTCATGTAGCACCTACAATTCCTACTACACTCCATTGTGTGGCGATGCTAAAATTCATTTAACCAGTTACCTACTGATGAACATTTACCTTATTTCTAGTCTTTTACTAATCAAACAGTACTACAAGGAACATTCCTCTCCCTGTTTTTACAACATGAGCCAGTTTATCTCTATAAGATAAAGTCCTAAAAATGGAATTGCTGGCTCAAAAGGTATGTGAATTTTTTGTTTTGAAAATTAACAATTATCCTCCAAAAAGTGGTACCAATTTATACTTTCAAAAGTGTAAGGTCCCGAGTTCAATCTCCGATACGAAAAAAAAAAAGTGTATTAGGGCGCCCATTTCTCCACACCTTCACCAACAAAGAATTGTCAAACTTTTTATGTATATCAATCTAAAAAGTGAACAAAGCTGGGTGTAGTGGTGCACGCCTGTGATCCCAGCACCCATGGCTGAGGCAGGAGGATTGCCACGAGTTTGAAGCCAGCCTGGGCAACAGAGTAAGTTCACGGCCTCCCTGAACTACAGTGAGACCCTGTTTCCAAAAAAAAACAAAGTGAAAAAAGCTTATCATTGTAGTTTTAATTTAAATGAAGTTGGGCCTTCATATTCTTAAAGGGAATTTATATTTTGCATGTGTGTGAAGTATTTTCATATTGTTTGGCACACTAATATTGTAATTCCAGAAAACACTACTACATCTTAAGGTAATTAAGTTTCTATCCACCTCTGAGGTGATCTGATTCCATTTGGAGGCTCTCTCAGATCAATCTGTCTGTAGTTTACTGAAGAAAATTTTAAATTCCAGGATGTATTCTGAAATATAACTCCAGCTACAACTCATCACATTCTCAGGGAATAGAATTAATAGTAGTACAAGCTAAATGACTGGGAAAAATTAATGGAAGAAAATCTTCATCCCAATGATAAATAGCACTAACATTTTGGGTTTTTTTGGTACCGGGGATGGAACTCAGGACCTTGCGCTTCCAAGGCAGGCGGCCGCACCCATGAGCTAAGTCCCCAGCTCAATAGCACTAACTTCTTTTGGGTTTTTTTAGCACTAACCTCTTGATTGTTCCTGGTCTGGGGTTATTCACTCCACGACAATCCTCTGATGACAGAAACATGGCCACTTCTCTTATTTCACTTTTTTTTCTTCCCATGGTCCTGGAGTTTGAACTCAAGGCCCGCACAGTGAGCTTCCTCCCTAGCCCTTTTTATTTTTTATTTTGAAATGGGGTTTCACGAAGTGGCTAAGTTGCCCAGGCAGGGCTCAAACTGGGGTCCTCCTCCCTCCGCCTCTTGTGCTGGGTTACAGTGTGCAGCACCGTGTCCAGCTCTATCTCACAAGTGTGTTATAAATCCACTTTGTCAAGTGAAAGCATACATTTAGGAATTTGTCATTGTGAAGAAATGCCTGCCTTTAGGTACAGAAAATAGTCAAAGAAATGATCTGAGGGGATCTGAATGAATGTACTGATTTAGTATAATCCAGATTATATTTGTATGTGATGGCAAAAGGTCAAAGAATCAAATGTGAAAGTTTAATTTCAGTACATTTCTAGCTGTAAACTTCATAAAATCTACCCAAAGAGGGCACTGTGACTGTTTAGGGTCTCTTATTAGGTAAGGAAGGGAATGTGCCTGGGTGGCCAGTCCAGCCAAAGCTACTTGGCCTCAAAAGGGAAAAAGTAAGTGGTCAAAGGAAGCACCAATAACCAGGGTAACAATAACCAGAAATGAGGTGGCAGAAACATGAAATTTATGTTTACTACATACCTCTTGATTTTTGTTGTTGTTTTGTTTTGGGGTTTTTTTGGTACCAGGGATCAAACTCAGGACCTTGCACTTTTGAGGCAGGTGGGGTGCCACAGAACTAAATCCCCAGCCCTACCTCTTGATTTTTGATAAGGCACCTACTTCAGGCAGTACTTTTTCCAACTGACAATTTCTAGAGACTTTTTTAAAGGCATTTTTCATAATCCAGCTTTAACTTAATATATGTTAAGCATGCTTATTATATATGGATGATAATGCTGAATTGTGATTCATTTATGAATGCCAACTACAACCTTTTGTCCCTAACAGTATATAACTATCCCCTGGTAGGGGCACTCCTGCTCCTCCCGTATCAGTGACAGTGAACCTTTTAGAGAGGAGTGCCCAAACTGCAACCCAAAGCCTACTTATCACAAAATGCCAACACTGCAATTAAATCTGAATGCTCAGTTGCTGGGGTGATGCTGAGGCGGCCTGGCTCGCGTGCTAACAGAGAAGGCTCTGTGTGTCCACTGTGGCATGTGTGCTACTACTGTCCTACATTTTCTCACCCCGAGTACTCATCTAGCATTATTATTCAAAACATGGATATACATGCACCAAAAGTATAGAAATACTCAGAGCAGTGCTATTTGGGACATCCATCAACAGTAGAACTGGTAAATTGAATGTACACAGTAACTAAAATGAAAGAACTGCTCTAAGCAATGGATGAATCCCACGAATATAATGGTACAAAAGGGTACACGCTGCATCACTCCACTGACATAAGGTACAAAACAGACAAAACTAACTGCTAGTGACAGAAGTCAGAAGGGCGGTTATCCTTGGAGGATGGGGCTGGGAGAGGAGCTGAGGAAGCATTTGTGCTGCAGGGATCTTCCTTCCCTTCAGCTGGTCATAACTCCATGAGTGGGCTAACTATATAAAAGTAACAGCTATGCACCTTTCTACAGCTAAACTATGTTGATAAAGTGTGCTTAAAGCCAAGCTTGGCAATGCCTGCAGTTCCAGCACTCTGGGAGGCTGAATAGGAAGGTCACAGGTTTAAGGTCGGGCCGGGGATGCAGCTCAGTGCTAAGGCCTTGGGTCCAATCCCCAGTAACACCAGTGTGTGTGTGTGTGTGTGTGGGGGGGGTAATCTTAAACCAGGCGTGGGATTGGTGCACACCTGTATTCCCAGCATTCCCAGAGACTGAAGCAAGAGAATCGCAAATTCAAGCCCAGGCTGTGCAACTTCAGGACTTAAGTGAGACCCTGTCTCCAAATGAAAACTATGAGCTCAGTGTAAAGTTCCTGGGTTCAATCCCACTATCACACATACAAAAGTACTTTAAAAAGGCAGAAGCCCTGGGCGAGGTGGTGCATGCTTGTAATTTCAGCACTTGGGAGGCTGAGGCAGGAAGATTGAACAAGTTCAAGGCCAGCCTAAGCTACATAGGCAGACCTTGTCTCAAAACAAAACAAACAAACAAACAAAAAGTAGGAGTGTTAAAGAGTGTGAAGCAAGTGAGAAAGCAAAGAAATTGGAGGGATCATTAGAAAATATGATTAGAATATTTGTACAAAATAGAAAAATAGTTGCTTCCATTTGGTTTTGAAGAAAATGCTATCACAAAGATACATATGCCTTCGAATATCGTTCTCTAACTTACTATTACTATGAACAAACTGAATATCTTCCTTGTCATCTAGATCTAGCTCAACCAACCCAATCTCTTACCTGCTTTGGATAAAAATAAGCTCATTCCACCAGAGCCAGAGCCAGCTTCTAAAACAGTATCGCCTGGGCTGATTTCCATCATCATCAGTACCATGTTCACGTCCTACGATGGAAACACAGTCTGGGAGATTCAGTAACTAAGAAATATGTGCCACGCACAACTCCATACCATATTTGAGAAGAGAATGGAAACAAAAAAACCAAAAAAACCATACTGAACTTTGGCCCTGTCAACCAAGAATTTGTATTTTGTGTGATAAAATAAGAGATTTAACAATCAATCAGCTGAGCGTGGTGCCGCACACCTGTGATCCCAGCACTCGGGAGCCTGAGACAGGAGCATCACCATGAACTCGAGATCAACCTGGGCTACCTATCTTATGGGAAAGAGCCAAAGAAATAGAAGTACATTCTCAAGGGCTTTCCACTGAATTCGAGGCCAGCCTCAACTACACAGGGAGAGCCTGTCTCAAAAAAGAAAGAATTAGCAGCTGAGCTTCACTGCTATGTGGTGGTAGGCTGAGGCAGGGCTATCACAAGGTAGAGGCCAGGCTGAGCAACTTAGCAATCCCCTCCCCCGCCAAAAAAGTGAGTGAGGATGTAGCTCAGTGCTGTGGGTTTAATCCTCAGGACTGTTAAAAAAAAAAAAAAGAATTCACAAATAAGGCAACACTTCAGAATAATACAACAGTTACAGACAATAAGAACCATAGGAGTTCAGGGCTGGGGATTTAGCTCGGTGGTTCCGGTGCCTGCCTCGAAAGAGCAAGGTCCCAAGTTCGATCCCCAGTACCAAAAAAAAAAAAAAGGTACAGGAGTTCAAAGAAAGAAGAAAGCACCAGACTGCCCTAGCTTAAAGATGCAGAGTGGAAAGAAAAGGAAAAAATGGAAACAAAGTCTTTGTAAATAGGGAGGGGTGGAGGGGTTGAAGGGAGGGCAGGGGAACAGGGAAAAAATAAGAACCAAGATGCATCATGTAAAGGTACAAATTCCCAATAATGAATGTCAGCATATTGTATATCTAAAATGTACTGATAAAATTGATAAATTTTTTAAAAAGATGCAGTTGAGAATTTAAAGAAATGATCACATGGTAGAAACAGCTTTGAAGTAAGCATAGGTAGAATAGACACAGACATTAATGCCAGTCTGAGGCCTTTGAACTTGGCCTGGAAAGCAACTAGAGCATGTCACCAATACATTATAAATGACATCTTATGGGCCGGGGATCTAGCTCTGTGGTTCTGCCGCCTGCCTCGCAAGCACAAGGTCCTGAGTTTGATCCCCAGTACCAAAAAAAAGGAAAACATCATAAATGGCATCTTATGAAGATGAATCTGGCAGGGCAATCCAGGATGTGCTAGAGAAAGATGAGAGGCAGGAAAAGCAGTTAGGAAGTTATTATGTATCCTCTGCTTGAGATCTTGAACTTTTAATTTAGAATTAAGATATAAGAATAGATTGGAGGACCCATTTGCCAAATACTATAATTGTTTTTGTTAATGTAATAGGAATATTATGGACACAGTAATTAGAGCAGTTTATTAAAACTCTACCACATGGTAGGGTTCTGTAACTATGCAAACTGTTTTCACACATTATCTCATTTAATCAGAATAACAATAAGAGAAAAGTATCATCATCCCTGTTATAAAAAGACATCACATTGCTGGGCATGATGGCACATGACTATAATCCCAGCACTTGGGAGGCTGAGGCAGGAGGATTGCTACGAGTTCCAAGCCAGTCTGAACTACATAGCAAGACCCTGTCTCAAAAAAAAAAAGAGAGAGAGAGAGAAATCATGGGTTGAGTAATTTGCTTAAGGTCACACTGCCTGGAAAAAAACCCCAGGAAAGTTAGGAGCACTGATGTTGAACTCTGAAGACCTTGCTATTGACCATTACATCAAATATTACAATGAGAGAGAATTTTAAATGCCAGCAATTCTTTCAACATTTCCCCAATATCCTATCTTCCAAAGCTACAAATAAGCAGCCCATCTAGTAAGCTTTTACTATCTTTCCTTTCTCTGGAAGAAGTTCCTGGTGAAAATTCTAAAAGGAGATCTTTAGGATCCTTCTGCCTAGTCACAACTAAAGTTGTACATGAAATACAATTTTGCACACACATGTACTAATAAAATTAAAAATACAGTTTTGGTTGCAGAACATAAATACTTAACAGGTATAGTTGTCTAATTAAAAGCCAAACTGTATTTTCTGAAATGCTGGACTAAGGCTTGAACCAAATGACACAGACACATAATTTTTAAAATGTATTAGTCAAAAAGTTGCATTCACAATTGCTCCCGTTTCAGGCATCCACATCCTCTCCCGTGTGCCAGGCTCCTTGGGCAGTCACTTCAATGGAAGCCCTTGAGAACATACTTCTCTGTTCTTGGCTCTTTCAGATAAGATACAGAAACCATCATTTAGTTTTTTGGGGGGTTTTTTGAGACAGGGTCTCACTATGTGCTGGGATTACAGGCGTGTGCCACCACACCTGGCTTGACACATCATTTAAAAAAGACATTTGAACAGTTTAGTTTTTGCTTCCTGATATTCAGGTTACAGTCTCAGCAGGATGAGTTTTCTAATTTGGATCCCAGTATATAAACAATTTAACAATCTCAATTCAAAATGTGAGTGGAACATCAGCATTTATTCGTATCCTGCTCTTTCCAAATGAATCTGAGGCTCCTGGAAGCGTCCTCCAAAGTTATGAAATACACTCTCCTACTGAGGTTTCTACAGTCATTTGTTTATTTTGTGATGCTGGGGATTGAAGCCAGAGCCTGTGCTCTGAGCTACATTCCTGGCCCTTGTTTTTATTTTTTATTTTAAGTCTCTAAGTTCCCTGGGCTGGGCTCAAACTTGCAATCCTCCTGCCTCAGACTCCGTGCTGGGACTAAAATTGGTGCTCCAGCACACCTCGCTAACTCTGGGTTTTTTTAGACAGGGTCTCACTCTGTAGTTCCAGTTGGCCATGAATGAACTCACTATGTAGCCCAGGATGGCTTCAAACTTATGTCAATCCTCCTGCCTCAGCCTCCTGAGTGCTGGGATTACAGGCCTGGGCCACCACACCAGCTAACTCTGGGCTTTTAAACAACCTTTCTAGACTTAACATTTTGTTTTCCTTAGGAGGAATTCTAATCTCTTTCCTGATTAATTCAATAATATAAATCTAATCCTCAGCCTAAAGTTTTGATATGAGTTGCAGTTTAGCTTTCATTAAATTATAACAATTTTACTCTCCAGTTGTCCTATGTAACAGTTATAATCACTACCATCGTGCAAATCAGCAGAAAGATTAGAAAATTTGAGGATTGTTGCCATTTATACATCTACTCCACATTAAAAGTGCTTGATAGCTGGATGTAGTGGTGCATGTCTGCAACCCCAGCACTCAGGGGGCTTGTTGTGAGTTCGAGGCCAGCCTGAACTACATAGTAAGTTCAAGGTCAGCCTTGGCTACATAGTGAGACCCTGTCTCAAAATATCAAATAAATTATAATAATAATGCTAAAATAAAATCTGTTTTGTCTAGTGGGCAAAATGTCGTGGAAAAGCAAGATGAAATTACAAATATCTCTCATTCTGACTAGGTTAGAACATCAAGAGAGGAAAAAGAAGTGACATAGTTAAAAGAAAACCTTGCCAAGTGGTGGCCAATAAGTATGGTGGCCCATACTTATAATCAATCCCAACACTCAGGAGGCTGAGGCTCGAGGCCAGCCTGGGTTACATTATGAGTTCAAGGCCAATCTGCACTGCAGTGTGAGACCCTGTCTCAAAAAGAAACGAGAAAGAAAATAGAGAGAAAAAAAAGAGAAAAAAAAAACAAAACCCTGTAAGTTTCCATCAAGAATTTAGCTACCCTTGAGTCCATTAGTCTAATGCTTCCGGGGAAATTTTTCTGAGTCCTGGGTAAAACTTTTTTTTTCTTTTGGTAGGAGAGTGGGTAGGTTGAGACAGGGTCTCCTTGAGTAGCCAGGTGGGGCTGGAACTTGTGATCCTCCTGCCTGAGCCTCCCAAGTGCTGGGATTACAGGCACGGGCCACTATGCCCAGCCACATCACTTTAATAAAGTGGCATAATCTTCATTTTACAGACAAGGAAACTGCAAATACCAAATGCAATTTAAATCCTGGCTGTGGCCCAGTACGGTGGCACACTGCTGTAAGTAACCCCAGCACTCTGGGAGGCTGAGAGCCCAGCCTGGACAATTCAGTGACTTCGGGATATCCTGTCTCCAAAAACAGCAGGGAGGGGGCGCACCGAGGATGCAGCTCAGTGCTAAGGGCCTGGGTTCAATCCCCAGTTGCTTGCAATTAACACACACAAAAAATGGTTGTTTCTTTTTAAAATTAGCAGTACCATAAATTATATCCATTATTATAATGAAAAATTCAAATGTAGCCGGGTGGGGTGAGTCTGTAATTCCAGCTACTCTAGAGGATGAGGCAGGACCATAAATTCCAAGCAAGCCTGGAAAATTTAGAGAGACCCTATCTCAAAACAAAATAAAAAGACTTGAGAGGGTAGCTCAGTGGTACAGCGTTATCCTAGCATGCACGAGGCGTGGGTTAAATCCTCAGTACTGTCAAAAACAAACAAAACCAAAACCAAACAAAAAACAATGCTTTGTGGCGTGCTTTGAGTACATTAATTAGGACTGTAGTACTGCACCCGTCTGCTCTTCGGGAAACCAGGCGCCTAACCCCACTGTATTACCTTTGGGTATGTTATGGCAGTCCCTCTTTTCATCAGTAATACATAGTCTTCCAATGCTGGTCTCCGCAGCATGAAACGCTTACCAAGGGAACTCGTCAGTATCTGGCCGGGGAACTTTCCCACAATCTTGCTGAACGGGACTATTCCCCACATACTATTTAAGTGTCCGACGTGGCTCAACCTAAATAACTTTTTAAAGTGAGTTTCTCTCTTCATAGTCTCAGCTAAAATCAGCTCTCCAGCTCGAAAGGGTCCCTCTCTGGAAGTTGAGCAGGAAGGGGAGACGTAAAGCTCTTCGGCCTCGCATGCTGCCCGGGCCAGGTCGGGCGGCGAGGGAAACCCACTTTCCCACCGCAGAGGATCGGGCTGGCTCCGCTGTCCGCTGGAGTCCCCGCGATCCCGAGGGGCTGACACCTGCCGCGACCTCCGCAGTCTGAGGCTTTCCAGCGACGACAGACATCCGACCCCAACGTTCTGGTCGCGGAAAGGGAGAGGTGGGGACGACGCTGACTCGGAGGTCTCCCTCCGTGCCGCCTCGCGCTCTGGCTCTCCATCTTGTGTGTCTCTAGGCGAGGACTTGTAACACAGTGACCTGGCTTCCTCAAAACACTGCGGCCCAAAAGGGTGCAGAAATGAGTAAGTCCCAATCCCGAGGCGCCTCCAAAGGCGCCGCAGCCCCAGCAAGTCCAGACCGCGGCGCCCAGTCATCAGCATGATGTCTTGCGCAGGCGGGGTCGCAGGCGAGTGACGTAGCAGACGAGGCCCCGCCTCTCTCTTCCTGCGCACTTAAGCCGCCACTTCGAGGCTCTGCAGCAAGAGGTTCTAGACCGTGCTTGCTGTGAGGGGGCTGCCGCCTAAAAGACCAGGGATCATATGCCACTCCATCGAGGGACCCTTCATTTTCTTCCCGGAAAGTGGACTGAGTAAAAACTTTACCCCTGAACAATCTCTGCCAGCCCTGCATGAAGACAGGCGGACTAAGAAACACAAAACTTATCAAAGTGCTGTGTAGATCTTTAATATTTACAATTCTCTACCAGGTTTAGATGGCTAGTACTCGTGAACACGAGTGTCGGGCCCTATAAATCCTTTTGTACCTGGGCTCTGACACCTGCTTGTCCCCCCACCCAGCCCACTGAAAATCCTGAAAGTTTGATTAAAGTGACAGTATTCATTGTGTGCTTATTCATCAGAATTTTTTAAATAATTAAAATATATTTAGTGTTTTGGTCTCTCCAAAAACTAAACAGAAGCTTCTTAAAATACGAAATGGTATCTTTGGGGTCCAAAGTTAACGTTAAATATCATTAGCCTGGTGCAGATGGCAGAGTGGTGAATTGTGGAGAAACAGCTTTTCCTGGGTTTGATGTCCAGACACTGGAATACAGCATCCTGAGGAAGACAAGAAGGAGGGAAGTGGGCTGGGGATGTAGCTCAGTGGCACTGCGCCTGCCTGGCAAGCAGAAGGTCCTGAGTTCAATCAGCGGTACCAAAAGCAACAACAACCAAAAAAGGAGGGCAGTGGGTCCCTGGGACCCAGTGAGGATCTGAAGCAAGAAATGAGACCCATGGGGACAGCAAGGAGAGTGACTTCAATGAAGAAGGAGGTGGTGGCAAGCTGTGCTTACTCTGTGAGCCCTGACTCACTGAGTGGGAAGGGCAGTTCAAACCTGCAGACCCACAGTGACTACTGGTGACCCCAGAAGCCTACACAGAGAGACATACCAGTGGAATCCAGCAGTGGACACAAAGGACTGCAATGGCTGGTTAATTATTCGGGTTCAGATGTCCCTCAGGAGTGAGCAATTGGCTGGTCATCATCTTGGACAGGGCTAACTGAGCTCAGAACTCATAGCAGCTGTGGGCTGTCTCCATCATGGTGAGGCTGATCCAAGTTCACGTCCACAGGAAGTCAAGAAGCTGAGTTCAAGCCAGCAGGAGGCACACAGTGTTGAAGGCTGTACAAATTTGGTTCCAGGTTCACAATCAGAAACCAAGCTAAGGCCGGGGATTTAGCTCAGTGGTTTCACTGCCTGCTGTGCAAGCGCAAGGACCCGAGTTCATCCCCGGTACCAAAAAATAAAAAATAAAAAATAAAATAATAATAGTAATAATAAAACCAAGCTAAGCTTCAGAAATAAATGTGCAGGCTTGTTGGGATTATCCACTGCCCCACCAAAATCTACCACTGGCTTGTTGGGATTAATCAACACAGATCTGGGTTCTGTGTGCCCAGGTTGTCTACCAGTGACAGCAGAGACACGCCTTTAACTAAACAGTTTCTTCTTTTTCTTCTTCTTCCTCCTCTTCCTCTTCCTCCTCCTCTTCCTCTTCCTCTTCCTCTTCTTCTTCTCCTTCTCCTCCTTCTCCTCCTTCTCCTTCTTCCTCTTCTTTCTTCTTTGATTTTATTTTTCTGGTCTTTTATTTTGCTTTGTTTTGTTTTCTTTTTGTTCTTATTTTTATGTAAGTGTGAACATTGTTTCTAGTGTTTTTGATGTTGTTCTGCTATTGTCTTTATTTCTCCCTTCTCTCTTTCCTTCTTGTCTTCAGTTTCCCAAAGTTTTCACAATCTTCCTTCATCCTCCAGCTTTGCTTCTAATCTCTTCCTCTTCTATTCTTAATTTTCCCCCTAACCCCTTTTAAATTTTCTCCCTTGGGGGTAGAATTGCCATATTGAGGGCACATTGACTAAATACAATTTTCTGGTTTATTTTAGATTTTGTTATATAACCACAAATCTAGTTCATATGGCTAAAGGTGGCAAATTAATGGTTAGCACAGTTTGTCATTTTCTAGGCTGTGTTTGATGCTGTTGTTATTGTTGATTGTACTATTTTAATCAAGGCATCATAATTGTTCTAATCAGTTGTTCTTCCTGGTATGCCAAGACTGAGATTGCCTAAGAGGCATAAATAATACTATAGGCAAGTGCCAAAGAAGCAGGGGCTAGGCAAAATATGCAGTAACTTCTCATCCCCACTAAATTGAAGAAGTAGAACCTTGCAACAGACTCAAAACCTAAAAGCTACACCTGGAGACATCTCTGAGAAGTAGTCATTCCCTAAGGATTCTAAATACTAGCAATAAAGCTATTTGCCATATGCAATTTACAAGCATTAACCCAGGAATTAAACTAAAAAAACCAGAAAATGAGAAGACACTTAAGCAAGATCCAACCCTAAACTTCCAGCTCACCAAAGGCAAACCCAGGGGGCAATGAGGTGGACCAATTCAAAACTTAATCAGTGTTGGCTTGATGTCCACTTTGTCTACAAATAGAAGAGCTACCCCTGCTTTTTTCTGTTTGTAGGTATTCTATCTGCAGACAAAGTGGATTTTAAACTAAGAGTGATTAAGAGAGAAAGATGGTCACTAAATCCTTGAAAAGGGAACAATCCAAGAGGAAGAGATAACAATCATATATGCACCAAATCCAGTGCACCCAACTATATAAAACAAATATTACTGGACAAGAAAAATCAAATAAGCACTAATTGGAAGGGGGGACTTCAATACCTCACTGTCACAAATAGATCAACTAGGCAAAATATCAACAATGGAATATCAGAACTGAGCCAAACTTTTGAGCAAATGGATTTAGTAGATATCTGTAGAGTTTTCTACCCGACAATACCAGAATACACATTCTTCTCAGCTATACACAGATTGTTCTCCAAAATAGACCACGTACTAGCTCAGAGAACATGCTTAAGTAAATACAAGGGAATTGGAATTATCACATCCATATTATTGGACCATAGTGCAATGAAATTGGAAATCGATGGCAAAAGAAACCACAAGAACTTCATAAAAACATGGAAATTAAACACCCTGCTGAACAACCAATAGGTTACAGATGAAATTAAAGAAGAAATTAGACAGATTTTAGGGCTGGGAATTTAGCTCAGTGGCACTGTGCCTGCCTCGCATGTGCAAGGTCCTGAGTTTGATCCCCAGTACTGGGGGAAAAAAAGAAATTAGACAATTTCTACAATTAAACAATGCTAGTACAACATACTGGAACTTATGGGATGCAATGAAAGCAGTCCTATGAGGGAAATTTATAGCAGAGAATTCCCATATGAGAAAAACAGAGTGAGCTCAAATAAGCAACCTAATATTGAACCTCAAGCTTCTAGAAAAAGAAGAGCAAGTCAAGCCCAAAACTCATACAAGGAGGAAATTATAAAGATCAGAGCAGAAATTAATGCAATGGAGACTAAGAAAACAATGCAAAGAATAAATGAATTGAAGAGTTGGTTCTTTGAAAGATTAAATAAAATTGACAAACCCTTAGCCAGTCTTATCAAAACAAAAAGGAAACAAAAGACTCAAATCCATCCAACTAGGTATGAAAAGTGTGAAATCACAAGAGGTCCTTCAGAAATCCAGAAGATGATCAATGACTACTTCTAGAACCTGTATTCTAATAAGATGGAAAACACACAAAAAATGAACATATTCCTAGATACATATAAACTACCAGGGCTGAATCAAGAAGATATAAAAATTCTAAATAAACCAATGTCAGCCAATGAAATTGAGGATGTAATTGAAAACCTACCAAGAAAGAAAAGGTCGGGCCCTGACACATTCACTGCTGCATTCTACAAGAAATTTGGAGAAGATCTGATGCTGCTACTTCTCCAACTCTTTAATGAAATTGAATGGGAAGCAATACTTCTAAATTCATTCCTAGAAGCAAGCATTATTGACACCAAAACCAGAGAAGGATCCAACTAAAAAAGAGAACTACAGGCCAATCTCCCTAATGAACACAGACTAAAAAATCCTCAATAAGATACTGGGAAACAGAATGCAGCAAATCATCAAGACGATTATGACCAAGTAGGATTCATCTCAGGGATGCAGGGATGGTTCAACATATGTAAATCAATAAATGCAATACACTGTATTAACAGAAGCAAGTACAAAATCTATATGATTGGGCCAGGGAAGTGGCTCAGTGGCACTGCTCCTGCCTGGCAAGCACAAGGTCCTGAGTTCAATCCCTAGTATAGAAAAAAAATCCATATGATCATCTCAATAGATGGAGAAAAAGCATTTGACAAAGTCCAACACCCATTCATGATATTTTAAAACCCTACAGAAAATTGGAATAGAAGGTCTTTATCTCTTATTCAGTATAGTTCTGGAAACATTAGTCAGAGGAATTAGACAAGAGAAATAAATAAGAGGCATAAGAATAGAAAAGGAAGAAATTAGATTATCATTATTTGCAGATGACATGATACTCTACATAGAAGACCCCAAAAGCCTTCTAGATTTAATAACCAAGTTCAGTAGTGTAGCTGGATACAAAGTCAACATTCAAAAATCAATAGGCTGCCTATAAATGAATAACAAACTCACTGAGAAAGAAATTAGGGAAATAACACCTTTCACAATAGTATCCCCCAAAAATGAAATATCTAGGGCCAGGGATTTAGCTCAGTGGTTCCAGCGCCTGCCTCACAAGCGCAAGGTCCCGAGTTCAATCCCCGGTATCCCCCCCCCAAAAAAATAAATAAAAACAACAACAACAAAAATGAAATATCTGGGAATCAATCTAATGAAGTAAAAGATCTTTACATTGAAAACTAAAGCACTCTGACAAAGGAGATTGAAGAGGCTATCAGAAAATAGAAAAATATCCTTTGTTCTTGGGTAGGAAGAACTAATACCATGAAAATGGCCATACTTCCAAATTGTTACACAGATTTAATGCAATCCTGATCAAAATTCC